AGACCTTAGCGGGAGATATATACCTGCAGTCCAGTCCAGTCCAGCGCCAATTAATGTACACTCAATTGACCACCTGCGTGGGACTGCTCCAATTTGGAGCAGGAAATTATTTGCGTAATATAAGCGCCAAGGGAGACTCACTCACACAACATAGAGGAAACTTTTTCGGCAAGTCCCAAAACTATTCATTTTGTACGGTTTTAATCCCTCAACTATAAATTGCTGTATATAAGCCCTTGAACCAAAAAAATATATATGTTCAGTTCAAGGACTTCTTCAATTTTGAGCATTAAATGTAATGGAATTAGGGGCAAAACCAACCAAACAGAAAAATCAACCCACGATTTGATTAAAAACCAATTATATATATAATAAATCAACTAATAATATGGAGTTTAATTTTTCTTCATCTTCTTTCATCTTTCATCCTCTCTAGTCATAAATCTTTTAGCTAGGCTGTTTTCGTGGATCGATTTTTTTTTGCTTGGTCGGTATTGCCCCTAATTCCGTCATCTCAAACGGCCAAGAAGCTATGACATATCTAACATTCTTCATCAATTTCCCCATGCGAGCCAATTCCTGTTAGGTGTTTATGTGGCATTAATTTTTTCTTTACCTTTTTCCAACGCATGTGTTCGTATTTTGGTTCCTAATGTTGATATAATTGTGTCTCTTTAACTCAAACTTAATTAGGATATTTCCGGAATGTGTGGCCTGTGAGCTGTGACATTGACAAAATAGGTGATTCGAATGGGTTTGGGCAAATTATAATTGGGTAATGGATATAACTGGATCAATCCATTTATACCCATTTAATAAATGGGTATAATTATAGCCATGTAATACTATATCACCTACGATATTATTAAAAGTTTCACTTAAATCCGTTACAGCCAGTTAGGATCAGCGGCTTCAAAAGCTATTGATTTTAATTGTTTGAGATTATATAGAAATTAAAGTAATATAAGAAAACACTCTATATATATATATAGAGTGTTTTACAGGACAGAAACAGTTTTATGAAATCCGTTCCTAATACGTAGTATACGACCGTTTGAATATAACATAATTTTTTTTGGTACGAATGAAGAGGTCATAAACCCTTAAATTGCAACAAGATGAGGAAACGCAACTCCTCCTAAACAGTGTAATACCATTTGAATATGATGTAATTTTTTTTGGGGTACATTGGAAGAGGTCATCATAACTCTTTAGCTTTTTCCGTTGATGTGTTCGTATTTTGCTTCCTATTGTTGACACGGTTTTGTCTCTTTAACTCAAATAACAATCTGCAAATAATTCATAACACCTAGGGAAGTTTGGTAGGTAAGTTTTGCTTGGCGGTAATCGAGTCAAGCAACATTAGGATCCAACTGACTATAATTTCTGCAATGAATAGCTTTGAGAAAAAGTGGGAGTATTTGTACACACAATAATCTTGTACTAGTCTAAGTCATGAATTTCTGGACGTTCTAATCACTTTTTTTTTTCTCACCTTCATTAATTTGATGTGGATCTATTCTGCAAGTTTCCGTTAATAATTCTACAACATCTGAGATGTCAATTAACAACCACAAGCACCAAGTCTTCAGCGTGCAAAGGGCGTTGGAAATTTTTGTTAGCCATTCTACAAAATAGGTATAAGGCATTTTCAGTTGACTTCTATAATGGCAGAACCAGCCTTTCTCTTTTCCTCTCAGCATCGCCAACGATGGGACTTCAAGGGACTTTCGAGTTAGCAATGTCCTTTTTTTTTTTTCATTTTTTCAACTCGCAATTAGCTATATGTCTCCAACATTTAATGTGCAATTTTACAATTAAAATAATTGTTACTTGTAGTACGAAAATTATACGTAAACAAACCCAAATTCATGCACATTCGAATTAAATCTTCCAAAGTCAATTATGACCAATTTTTAATTAATATCCAAGAGAAAAGAAAATAACAACAAAAACTGCATACTTTTTTTATTATTATTAATGTTTAGTTCGATTGTAGATTACATATGCTAATAGGTGTAACGTAACTAATTATATGATTAGCAAGAGCTATGATTCAATTCTCCTTGAATTTTCAGCCAACATTCAATTACTAGAATTTAAACAACGAAATATGGAGCACAACCACATATAAATAGTGATATTAAGTTAGGAGTAAGTATAGTATAAAGTTCTTAAATTGTTATTTGTTTAAGATTAAATTAGTTGGGAATTGGGATTAGATGTGTAAATGACCTTAATCAACCTTGATACTATAGTACTCAAGCTTGTTATTTATGGTGTCAAATTTAAATAAGTTTTTATCAAATTGAGTCAAAGTCAATTTGAGTTGAAACTTTATTGAATACATATTTATTATGTTAGAATTATGTAGCATTGTCTCGATTTTTTAATTTAAATTTGTGTCTTGTTGATACCATATATTTTTAACTTGTTTATAACCTTCTTTTGGAAATATATGTAGTGCCGTGTAAATCTTTTACATGTTCTAATGACCATATATACAATAGATTTTAGCACTTAGTATCTCTTTTTTTTTTTTTGTCAACACAGGGGTGTCCAGGTCAATCCTTACGGAGCCCGACTAATCCCCTGCGGTCCGGAAGAGGAGGCTTCACTCCACTCCGAGCACGTTAACAACGGGACTCGAACCCTAGACAAGCCAGAAAGGTCGCCATAATCTAAAAAGGGGAGCGGACCGTTCGAGCTATCCCGTGGGGGTAGAAGACCAGCCACGTAAAGTGGCAAGTTTGTGGGACCTCCAGCGTCACCAAAGATGGTGATGACCACCGGACCAAATGGCATTTAGTATCTCTCTAGTTATCCAAAATTTGCCTTATAAAACCTTTTCCGCTGAATTTTTTTCTTTTTTTTGAATAAATTTCCCTTCCTCCGAGTCGGGTCCACTTGACTCCTCTAGTTCCCGGAACTTGGGGATGATCAAGACTGTAGTCTAGACTTTAGCGGGAGAAATGTACCTGCAGTCCAATCCAGCGCCAATTAATGTACACTCAATTGACCACCTGCGTGGAACTGCTCCAATTTGGAGCAGGAAATTATTTGCGTAGTATAAAGACCGTTCCGTGTTAGACCGCTTGGTATTTAGAACTTTTCTTCCATAACCTTTCCTAAGTCAGGATGTACGAGGCAAATACTATCGTTTAAGATTGCCTTTGGATTGATTGAGGTATTTGGCGAAAGATTTAAAATTCTTTCAAATTTTTTTAGTTGTTCACATTATTTAAGAGATATTTGAATTTGTAGACTATCAATTATTTTAGTATTTGAATATTTTTTTAATAGCAGATGTATGACAACATACCCAAGTATCTCCTAATTAAGAAATTTAAATGATTAGAGCAATTCAGATGGATTTCAAATTCTTCGTCAAATTTCTTAACCCAAACGAAGGGTTCATTTCAATTGACTTCTGTAGTAGAAGAACCAAATTTTCTTTTCCTCTCAACATCTAGCAACAGGACTTCATGGGACTTTCACGCTCACACAAGTGTGAATGCTTGAAATTTTAAGTTTTGAAACAGTCTTCACTTTTTAGGGGTGGGTATATCTAAAATTTTGAAATAAAGTCAGAATGAAATTGAGAGATTGGTTTATATTATAACACTGGCAAAGAATTAAATCTCATATCATCAGTGAAAACTAAGCGCTACACATTCAGGAGGTTGATTTTGAACAGGGAGGATTCCGACCCCTCCACATTCAGAAATTCCAAAATTTAATAATACATGTTGACTTGCAGTCATACAACATAACAACTTCATTTCAATTCCTTGTTGCTTTGTGTTGGTGTATTTTAATAAAATCCTAATTTTCTGGATAAATCTTTTCAAGGAGTTACAATAGTATTCATTGGTGAGTTATGTAAATTATTATTGTGGGAGTTACATTGCATTTTGAATGGAGTTATAATTGTGAGTTACTTTTTTGAATAAGAGTTATGAGGGTGCTCACCTCGGCGACCCCGCATGTCCGAGGTGAACTCACCTCGTCCCTCATCGGAGCTCATCCGTGCCCTTGGGCATACCCCTTAAGCTCGGCCACATCCCCAGTATACCGTGTAGGTGACCTCGGCAACTCCACCTCAACTGCACGCTGATGATGCCAGGACACCTGACATCATCCGGGATCAGTGCTTTATCTGAAAAGTACTGTCGCACTTAATGACTACTGCAAAGGACTCCTCGTCATCCTGTCCAGGCGGCTACAGTGTCAGGGTCAGGCCATCTGACAGGGAGCAGAGCCGTAATGGCAGGGCATGGGTCCCACCGGCATAAGACCTCCATCCTGCCCTCCACTCTCACCCTATAAATACCCCACACACTCCCAACAAGTAAGCAGACTGTTCATTCTCATATACAATTACCTTTCTCGTTCTCATACTAACTTAATCGTCGGAGTGATTCTAGGGGAGAAGCCCCGCCATCCACTTCGGACAAGCAAATGTACACCACCTCATCTCAGAGAGGACTGATTTAGGTCGGTCTATCTACCCACCAAAAATAACCTCTTCAATTGGCGCCGTCTGTGGGAACGAGACTGCTATTACCAAAATGAGATCCACGCGCTCTAGAAGCGGAAGAGTTCCCTCAACTGGGGCTGGGCAGACCTCGGGAGCCCAGCAAAATCGCATCTCTGAGGAACAAGGGTCCCAAAGGACCCAGCCCAACAACGAAGACGCCATCGCCAAGATGGCCGAGTTCGTGTCAGACAACCCCAACATTTTTGAGGAACTAGGAAGATACCTCAAAAGGCAGGGGAAAGAAAAAGTCGAATCTTCCAAGAGGAGACCGACGAAGTCTCCTGAAGTGCCCTCAGGTGAGGACTCCGATGAGGGGTGTCTCTCTCGGAGTACCTCTAGGCGCGCCTCCTCCAAGGCAACCTCTAAAATAGCCTCCATCTCCAAGGCGTTTTCCCGGGGACTGCTAGGGAAGTGAGCTGAGAACCCACCTCGGCGCCCCGGGGTCCTAGCTTCTGATTACATGAGGGCTCCGCCCTTCACTGATGACATCAATGGGGAGATGGTGCCCCCAAACTTTAAGCTTCCAAACTTACACACCTATGACGGCCGAGGCGACCCCGAGGATCACCTCCGCGCCTTCATCTCCGCTTTCCGCCTCTACTGTGTCCCTGACGCCGTGATTTGTCGAGCTTTCCCCATCTTCTTGCATGGGACTGCCCGAAAGTGGTTCTGGAGTTTAGAACCGGGGTGTATTTCCTCCCTGGATGAACTGATAGATCGGTTCATCCATCGCTTTGTGTCGTCTCGACCAATAACAAAGACTTCAGCTTACCTCTTGAACCTGCAACAGGGTCAGGGCGAGTCACTTCGCTCATACGCCCAAAGGTTCAACGAGGAAAATGTACAGATACCTGACCAGAACGAGCAGGTAACTATCGCTGCCTTCACCAATGGGTTAGTGGCAGGGATCTTCAACACCGAAATCCATCGGCAGTACCCCCATACACTTCGGGAGCTCTGGGAAAGAGTGGACCAGGGAATCCGAAGTGAAGATTTAAATCGCATGAAACGAGAAGCCCAAGCCTCTCGTACGGGGCAAGATCCCCGGAGAAGGAAAGACACAGGCCGAGGTGAACAAGGCCCAAGTGGCACTTCAAACCAACTCCGAGACCGTCGGAGTGTCTTCGATCGAATCGTAAAAGGCAGGTCGTCCACCTCGGACGCCGAGCTGACACCCCTCAATTCGAGCCGGACCCATGTCCTGGCTGTGATGAGGTAGAATCACCTCGGCCGCAACCCTCCCGAAATTCCGGGGAGGAGAGATAAGAGGAACTCAAACCTCTATTGTGCCTATCATCGGGATGTTGGGCACGAGACCGAAGACTGTAATGATCTGAAGCGAGAGATCGAAAATTTGATCCGGCAAGGATACCTGAAGCAATTCGTCCGCAAGGATGGAGGCTTCAACCGAAGCGTCTCCCACCGGGAGAACCGGGGCCCCCGCCGAGACGACCGACGGGACACGAACATGCATTGCCGGGGTCCCGAAGACCGTAGGGAGGACAAGCAGCCTCCACGCGATGGATCACCGGGCTACGGCCCCAACATCGCTGGGGTGATCAACACCATCGCGGGAGGATCAATGGGAGGAGACAGCCAGAACTCCCGGAAGCGGACCTACCGCCAGGCCGAGATGGAGGTGGCCGAGCCGAGCTCTCGGCTGTCCGAGGTCATCACCTATGGCCCCGCTGACCCCGTCCCTGCGGCCTCCAGCAATCACGAGACTCTTGTGATTGAAGTCCTCACCAACAACTACGTAGTCAAAAAGGTCTACGTTGACCCCGGAAGCTCGGTAGACGTCTTGTACTACCGAACTTTCGAAAGTTTGAAACTGACCAGGGAGCAACTCACTCCTGTCAGAACTCCCCTCGTGGGATTCGGGGGACACGTCGTCCACCCGGAGGGCATGTTGACACTGATGGTAACAATCGGGCGTCATCCACGCTGCCGAACTGTGCCTGTCAGTTTTGCGGTGGTCAAAGCAGACTCCCTCTACAATATGCTGATAGGCCGACCCACGCTCAATGCCTTGAGAGCCGTATACTCCACCTACCACCTGAACTTTAAATTCCCAACACCTGTGGGGGTGGCCGAGGTGAGCAGTGATGTGGGCGCCGCCCGGGAGTGCTACCTCGCCACCATTCAAGCAGCAGTCACACCCCGACCCTCACCGAGGTCAGAAGAAAAGAGGCCAGCGGTCCTCTCCATAGACTGCATCGACCCTCAGAAGGCAGGAGAGCCCAAGAGGCTGGAGCCCGGGGATGAGGTGGAACTGGTGGTCTTGGATGAAGCGAAACCTGACCAAGTGGTCCAAGTAGGGGATGGACTCCCCTCACCCCTGAAAGAAGAAATGATCTCCCTGATCAAAGACCACCGTGACGTCTTCGCGTGGTCCGCGGATGAAGTGGTCGGAGTGCCACCCGAGCTCATGACTCACCAACTCAACGTTGACCCACAGGCCCGACCTGTGCGACAGAAGCGAAGGCACTTCTGCCCCGAACGTAGCCAGGCCATATCGGATGAGGTCGACAAGCTCTTGTCGGCCAAAATGATCCACGAGGTCCAATATCCCACCTGGCTGTCCAATCCAGTCATGGTCAAAAAGGACACCGGTGGATGGAGAATGTGTATAGATTTCACCGACCTCAACAAGGCCTGCCCCAAAGATTGCTATCCTCTGCCGAGGATAGACGCCCTCGTCGACACGGCGATGGGGTATGAAGTCCTCTGCTTCCTAGATGCCTTCAATGGGTATCATTAAAAAGGAATGAGTGAGGAGGACCAAGAGAAAACGGCGTTCTACACCGACCGAGGTACCTATTGTTACACTACCATGCCCTTCGGGCTAAAGAACGCCCGGGCGACCTACCAAAGGCTGATCAACCGACTCTTCAAGAATCAGATCGGCCGCAATGTGGAGGCCTATGCGGATGACATCCTCATCACAAAAGTCTCGCCACTTCATCCTTTCTGTCAGATGTGAGGGAAGTCTTCGGTGTCCTGCGAGACTCGAGAATGAAGCTGAATCCCAAGAAATGCGTCTTCGGCGTCACCTCGGGAAAATTTTTAGGGTATCTGGTTTCCCACCGGGGAATCGAGGCCAACCCCGACAAGGTCAAGGCCATTCAGGACATGTCTCCACCTCGGAATATCCGAGAAGTCCAACGGCTGAATGGACGCCTGGCCGCGCTGAATCAGCTGAGAAAGCTCTGCCCTTCTTTAAGGTGCTCAAGAAGGCTGACCAGTTTGCCTGGACGGAAGAGTGCCAGGCTGCTTTCGACAAACTGAAGCAATACCTCCATCACCTACCAACTCTTGCTTCACCTCGGCCCGAGGAGAAGCTCTACCTCTACCTCTCCGCAGCCGACGAGGCTGTCAGCGCTGTTCTTATCCGGGATGAGGGCACCCAAGTGCCCGTCTACTACGTCAGCCGAGCTCTCCGAGGGCCGGAGACTCGATACACTCAAGTGGAAAAACTGGTGCTGGGGCTAGTCCACGCCGCTCGGCGGCTGAAACCCTATTTCTTGGCTCACCCCATATCCCTCAGGACTGACCAGCCTCTCCGACAGATACTGGTTCGACCCGAGGCCTCCGGGCGCCTCACAAAGTGGGCCGTCGAGTTAGGGGAGTACGACCTGTCGTATGAGCCGCGCACCGCCATAAAAGCTCAAGGCTTAGCCGACTTCTTGGCCGAGCTCACCTTCACGAAAGGTCCAGAGTCCACCTCTGCCTTTGCCGAGGTGAGCACCCCATCCCTGTGGACATTGTATGTAGATGGATCCTCTAATGGGGATGGCAGCGGAGCTGGAGTGCTCCTGGAAGGACCTCAGGGAGAAGTGTGCTCTTACGCCCTCCGCTTTGGCTTCCCAGCCACCAATAACGAAGCCGAGTACGAGGCCTTGATTGCTGGACTCCAACTGGCCCGCAGGCTCGGCGCCCAGCAAATCCACGTCCGCAGTGACTCCCAACTCGTTGTACGCCAAGTTCTTGGTGAATACGAGGCCAAGGGTGAGACCATGCAACGGTACCTCTCCAAAGTTCACCAACTCACCGGGTACTTCGAGTCCTTCGAAATCCAAAGAATACCCCGGTCCCAGAATAAGCGAGCCGATGCCTTATCCCGGCTGGCTTCTACGTCATTCTCTGACCTCAACAAAACTGTCTTAGTGGAAGTCCTGAGTGAACCAGGATACGTGGAAGAGGTGGCCTGCCCCGTGCACTCTGAAGAAACCTGGATGACCCTGTTCATCCTTTTCTGGGTCACGGAGCCCTCCCCGAAGACCGAGCCGAGGCGAGAAAAATACAACGCAAGGCGGCTCGGTACGCTCTCCGCAATGGAGAGCTGTACAAACGCTCATACCTCGGCCCCTGGCTGAGGTGTGTCACTCCCGAGACGGGATGCCACGTCCTCCACGAGATCCACGAGGGCTTGTGTGGAGCTCACGTCGGCCACAGAATGCTAGCCAAGAAGGCTTTGCTTCTTGGATATTTCTGGCCTTCAGTTCGGTAAGACGCCCAGGACCTCGTTCTCGGCTGTACTTCCTGCCAAGTTCACGCACCCGAGCACCACCAGCCCGCAAACTTCATGATTCCCATCACTTCACCTTGGTCGTTTGAGCAATGGGGGACAGACATCATAGGTCCTTTTCCCAGAACCGTCGGGGGTTATACCTTCCTGGTAACCGCTGTGGATTACTTCACCAAGTGGGTTGAGGCCGAGCCTCTAAGGACCATCACTGGGCTGGCAATTCAAAAATTCTTTTGGAAATGCATCGTCTGCCGCTTCGGCATACCTCAGATCATCATCTCGGACAATGGGAGACAGTTTGCCGAGAACCCATTTAAGACTTGGTGCGAGAACCTCAGCATCAAACAACACTTCACTTCGGTGGGCCACCCCCAGGCCAACGGTCAAGCAGAAAACTTCAACCGAACTCTCTTGCATGGCCTCAAGACCCGACTACACCGAGCTGGAACATCTTGGGTCGAAGAACTCCCCAGTGTCCTTTGGTCTTATCGGACCACGCCGAGGTCAGCCACGCAAGAGACCCCCTTCTCTTTGACATACGGAGCCGAGGCTGTCATCCCTGCGGAGATCCTTACCCCTAGCCCTCGGTTAGCAGCCTATGAAGCCGAGGTGAATGACGAAGAGAGGCCGTTGGATCTCGACCTCGTCGATGAGCGAAGGGACCTCGCCTCAGCCCGGATAGCTTCCTACAAGAACACACTGGCACACTATTACAATGCCCGCGTCAGACACCGTAGATTCCAGCCTGGAGACTTGGTTCTGAGGAAAAACTCAGTCAGCCGAGCTGCACCGCAAGGGAAACTATGCCCGAAATGGGAAGGCCCTTACCGAGTTGTGGAGTCTGACCTTAAACGATATTGTAAACTTAGTTACCGAGACGGCTCATTAGTGCCGAGGTCTTGGCACGTCGAGAATCTCAAATTGTATTATGCTTGAATTTTTAATCAAGTTGTGACTTCGGATCTTATGTTATTTTTCAACATCGGTATTACGCTATTAAAAAAGAAAGGGGGACAAGCAAGGGACGAAGTCAAAGCGAGAAATTAAAGTGCTGAGATGAAAAGAAATAGGCTTTCATTCAACAGAAAAGAGCGTTACAAAAAATACAAGGCCGAGGTCGGAATGCTACTAAGCACTCTTCACCTCGGCCACCCCTTTAAAGCCCACGAGCCTAGACCCCCGTCTTGGCTCCATTCCCCGTCTCGGCTCCCTCCTGGGCAGCCTTCTCTCCGGACTCTCCTCCGCCGGGGTGAAGTTCTTCTCCATGCTCTTCGCCGATGTCCCCTCCGGCTTCGTCTTCCCCAGCTTCTTCACCCTCCTCGAACACTTCGTCGAGTTCGGACAGCCACTTGTTGAACTCGTTTTGGACTTTGGCCAAGTTCCTTCCGGCGTGGAGGCCCTCGGCCATCCGGTCGCACAACTCCTTGGAGTCCTCATTGTAGCTGGCATTGTCTTTCAACGACTCCAAGGCTTCGGAGGAGAGGTGGGCTGCGGCCGCGTCCACACCCGACGTGAAGCCGAACATGAAGTTTGGTGTGAGCAGTTGGCCGAGATCCTTGGTGAAGGCCTCGGACCTCCGAAATGCGTCCACTGCCGAGGCCCCAACACTGTTGAGGGCTTGCTCATGAGACTTCTTCACCTCGTCCCCCCTCTTCTGCTCTTTTTCGAGGGCCGATCTGAGACTATTCATTGTAACCTCAGCCTCCTCACCCTTAGCTTCGGCCTCCTTAAGCTGTCTTTGAAGCTCGGCCTTCTCAGACTCGGACACCGCCAATTTCTTCTCCAACTTGGAGATCTGATTTTGCAGCTTGCCGGTGTCCTGCTCCTCGACCAGAGCACAGTACCGGTGTGTCATCTCGGCCACAAAGGCTGAGGTGGAAGCTGTGCTCACCATGAGGCTTTGAACCATCTCGGCCGGGGACAGCTTCTTCATAAACTCCAAATCCCTTGACAGGGGGGAGTGCATTACTAGCTCTTGGGCAACCCGAGGATGGCTGCACCTGTCGTTGACCGAAAGCTTCCAGTTCGGACACCAGTGCCCGTTGGGGTGTGTCTTCTCCTCCCCGGAAAACACCGGGGGGCTATGGAAACGATTCCATAACGAGGTCCCCGAGACTGCGTCGGCCGGGGGTTTCAACTGCTTGCCTCGGCTATGAGGAGGTGGAAGTGCCGTGATGACTCCAAGGGGCACCCCCTCTGGCACGGACGAGGTGGACCTCGTAGCTGCGGTGGCCGAGCTGCTTTGGCCAGCCGTGGTGGGAGTGCTTTTAGCCGCCGAGGTCTTGGCAGCTTGTCCTTGAGATTTCTTCTTTGGCGGAGGTGCCGATGTCTCGTCAGAGCTCTTCCTCTTCTTCCTCTTGGCCACCTCGGATGAGCCCGATACGACGAGGTCGGACAGTTTAGTCACTGCACAAGAAACAAATATTATCATATGCCTTAGCCGAAGTGAAAGCAAAGTTATTAAAGAAAATTACAAGGAATCTTAAGTTTGGTGGAGGTGAAGGGAGTTTTGTCAGGACTGAGCAAACCTCGGCTGATTCCCCCGTCAACCAGCACGGCTTCGGGGTAGTCCAGACTGTATATCCGAAGTCCTGACCCCATCAGCTTCTGGAAGGCCTCCTCCTCGGCATCCCCTGCGGGGGCGTTGGCCTTCGCCTTAATTGGCCTCCACCAGAAGCCCCTGGGGAAGTCCACTTCGAACACAAAGAAGAAGTCGCGCTTCCAATTCTTGATCGAGCTGGGAGAACCAATCACCAACTTCGGAATGGCATTATTCCGATTGCCAACATAAAACCATCCCTTATCTGTCCCGTGCACCTTGAGGGTATAGCATCGGCGGAAGAGGTCGACAGAGGGAGTCACCTCCTGATGTCGGTACAGCATCTCGAACCCTACAATGATGCGGATCGCGTTCGGGGTGAGCTGGGTAATCCTCACGAAGAAGTGACGAAGCAAGTCTCTGAAGAACCTCGACGTGGGCATCCTCAGCCCGGCCTCTAACTGTTGGACATAGATGGCCACCATGCCCAAGGGGGGCTTTTCGGCTGAGTCATCCGCCCCGGGCTGTATAATCTCGTACCCCGACCGGAAAGGGTACTTGTTTATCACCTTCACGGCCCTATCTCTTCCGATGCAACTTCTGAACTTCGACATTTTGCCGAAGTCGATGTTGGCTGTGTCCTTGGGAGCGACAGGCTCCAGTACGTCCTCGTCGTGTGGTATTTCGACGCCGAGCTCTTCGTTATAGCCCACCTCGGAACCGCCCTCGCTCATCTCGGACGACTCCAACTCCGAGGCTACCTCGCTGGCTCCCGCCTCGGTCGATCCCTTCTCAGAACTCGGGGTCGACCCTTCCGAGCTGGACGTCGTCGCTTCTTCCCCAGGATCCGGCCTCACCTCGGTCTGGTAGTTCGGAGTCACGGTCTCTTTATGGGTCTTAGCCGTTTTGGCCATGGGTGAAAGACGAGATAAGAAAGAAAAGGGATACTTACTATTGCCTACGGAATTGGACGAAGTTGATGACCTCGGCTCTGATCTCGGCTCTGACCTCGGCTACTAGACTGATCTCGGCTACGCTCACGAACTTGGCAGGTCTCGGATGAAAATGAAAGGTGTGAGAAGTGCGGTGAGGGGGACCCCCCCTATTTATAAGGGTTTGGGGGGAACCCGAAGAGGCGGCAAAAATGCGAAAGGACGGCCACGTTCGAATTCAAAACGCCGTGCCTCCCTCTCTCCTCATTAATGCCCCGTCCTTTCAGCTGACACCCTCTGCACGAAACGTCCCACTATTTCACGACGCGACGGTTACCAGTGACCACGTCCTATCAGCTGACCTGCCCACGTGTCACGTCCCTGCATTTCTCGGAGCAGTTTCGGCACTCCGACTCTTTACGACTTCGGCCCAAGGAAGCCTTGGTACCTCCCTGGCCCGGAGCTACCGAGGCTTGGGGGGCTTATTGAGGGTGCTCACCTCGGCGACCCCGCATGTCCGAGGTGAACTCACCTCGTCCCTCATCGGAGCTCATCCGTGCCCTTGGGCATACCCCCTAAGCTCGGCCACATCCCCAGTATACCGTGTAGGTGACCTCGGCAACTCCACCTCAGCTGCACGCTGATGATGCCAAGACATCTGACATCATCCGGGATCAGTGCTTTATCTAAAAAGCACTGTCGCACTTAATGACTACTGCAAAGGACTCCTCGTCATCCTGTCCAGGCGGCTACAGTGTCAGGGTCAGGCTATCTGACAGGGAGCAGAGCCGTAATGGCAGGGCATGGGTCCCACCGGCATAAGACCTCCATCCTGCCCTCCACTCTCACCCTATAAATACCCCACACACTCCCAACAAGTAAGCAGACTGTTCATTCTCATATACAATTATCTTTCTCGTTCTCATACTAACTTAATCGTCGGAGTGATTTCAGGGGAGAAGCCCCGCCATCCATTTCGGACAAGCAAAGGTACACCACCTCATCTCAGAGAGGACTGATTTAGGTCGGTCTATCTACCCACAAAAAATCACCTCTTCAAGTTACAAAGAATTATTTGGTATTGTGGGAGTTACAAAAGAATTTTGAATAAGACTTTATGTATTATTGTGGGAGTTACAAAAGGATTATTTGAATAAGTCTTTATAACCCATTCAAATGTGAATTAACTCTTTAGGTTACAAATTCTACCTATTAACTACATTTTAATATGAAAAACTGTTACACATTAGTTTTTCTTTTACTTAAGATTTTGTAGCCTATAAATAGTGGAGTTCTCAAAAGGATTTTATACACTTCTTCTCACAACAAAAAATCACTCTAAAATACTATCCTCCTCACATTCATTTCTTTTTCCTTCATTTTGTTTTCTTTGGGCAAAGAAAGATATTGGGAAGCTTCTGCTTCTCTTGGTTGTGCAGATGAAAGAGAAGTAACAACTATAGAGTTGGGCTGTTGTATCCTGGAGGCGGCGCGCTAGACCTTCTGCATCGGTTTGAAAAACACCGTAGGGGCGCGTATCGTCTTAAAGAGAGCGTTCTACGCGCCTCAGCCCTATCAAACTTCTTAGTAGCTGTCAATTCCAAGGTGGTTATTTTTTGAAGATCAGAGATTGTTTGTGTACTCTCCTCCAACACTTTGTGGTGAGTAGATTCTGTAGGCCTTTGAAGATGAGCAACAGCCTACAGATCTGTAATAATGGCAGAAAATACAATAAACGTTCAACAGATGCAATGAAGAACTAACAAAGATTACATGTGCTTTTGGTTTATTTAAAGTGAACAGATTGGATCCTATAGATGCTACATATTCAATCCGAACTATTAATCGACCTCAAGAATTTGAGTTTGATCTTCTTCAGTGTCTCCAGTGTAACTTTCATACTAACTCTCTCACTCGGAGATTCACGAACACATTTTAAGGCCAATTCCATGATGGATGAAAAACACTCCAACTTCTCAGTGAAATTTTCATCCTCACGCTTCAACAACTTAGCATCAATGACTTGAAGAATCGAATTAGGCAGAGAATCATTTATCCAACTCTTCAAGTTCAAATTTCCAGCAAACATTTCATCATTAGGCTTTCTTCTTGAAAAAACTTCCATCAGCATGATTCCATAGCTATAAACATCGCATTTCGCTGATATCAACCCCTCAGATCCATACTCTACAAACAACGTTCAAATTGAACAAGTGTCACATAAGAAAAAAAGAAACTAAATGCTATACAAATTTTAGGATTAAGATTGAAGAATCATTACCTGGAGCAATGTAGCCAATTGTAGCTGACGTGGGCAACCATATCCTCATCAAGTAAGACATTACTGGGCTTCAAATCACAGTGAATCACAGGCGTTGAATATTCTTCGTGGAGATATTGCACAGCATTTGCCACATCTATCATTATATTCAATCTCGGTAGAGTATCTAAGAAATAGTTGTCAGAATACAGCCATTTCTCAAGGCTTCCATTGCACATGTATTCAAGCACCAAGGCCCTAAAATCCTGGTTCCAACAACCGCTGATGACCTTCACAAGATTTCGATGGCGAAGGTTCTTCAGGACTTTGCACTCTACATCAAAGCTCTTGAGTACTCCTTCCAATTCCAAATTGAAAACCTTTACAGCAATAGACCTTCCGTCATTGAGAATCCCCTTGTAAACAGATCCAAAACTCCCAATGCCAAGCAAATTGCCACTACAAGAAAAAAGGTCATTAGTGACAACATTTCTTTGTGACGACAAAAAGTCGTCACAAAATGAGGTTGTTTAGTCACGACTTTGAAGGTTGTCACAATTGACTCAAAGCAACTGAGTTTTCAGTGACAACTTTTAATTGTCGTCACAAAACTACTTCGCGCCATGGGACTTGGAAGGCACGAGTTTTGCGATAGTGACGACTTGATAAAAGTTGTCAGTAATTCTACCACTTTCTTTGACAACTTTTCGTTGTTGTCACTGTTTATGTTTATTGACGACCAATTTTTGTCAATAAAACTATAGTGTAGTTAGTGACAACATAAGTATCATCACTAACTTGAACATCTCTAATGCATTTATTTAATTGTGAACCTCAATATTAATTTATTTTTTTAAATTTGATGATTTATTAACTATGACTTTATTTAATTGTGAGCCTCAATATTAATTTAATTTTTTTTTAAAATTTGATGATTTATTAAACTAGTCATAGTTACTTAAATATTAATTTAAGTTATTTACGGACGACTTTTTGTTGTCGTCACTGATCACGAAAAAAAAAAGTTATTAGTGACAACATTTTGTAGTGATGACAATAAGTCGTCACAAAAGGAGCTTCTTTAGTCGCGACACCTAAAGTTGTCACAATTGCATCAAAGCAACCAAATGTTTAGTGACGACCCGTTATTTTCGTCACAAACTACACTGCAAGAAATATGGTCATTAGTGACAACATTTTTTAGTGACGACAAAAGTCGTCACAAAACGTGGTTGTTTAGTGACGACAAGGAAAGTTGTCATAATAGCTCAAAGCAACTAAGTGTTCAGTGACGACCTTGAAAAAGTTGTCACTAAAATGATCTCTATAGTGACAACTTCTAATATCGTCACTGTCACTCTACCGATTCGGATTTAGTGACAAGAATTAATTATCACTGTTTAAAGTAATTATTTTTAAGTCACTTTCATTAATTCTACTGTGTCACCCTAACTTTTGCGATTTAGCCCCAAATGTTGTAAAAAATTCCATTAATTCCATTATGATACCTTAACTTTTACATTTTAGCTTCATATGTAGTACACCGATTTCTTTAATTCTATTATTACTCCCTAACTTTTGTAATTTAGCCCCATATGTAATTCACCAATTTCATTAATTCTATTATGGCACTCTAACTTTTACAATTTAACCCCCATATGTAATACACCAATTTTATTATTTCTATTATGGCACCCTAACTTTTACAATTTAGCCCCTATTTTTTTATTAGGAAATTACGAATGGTATCTTGATAAACTATGCATAAATATTTTATAATTTTCTCAAACTTAAGTAATAATTTGTTATAAACTCTAAAGATATATCTTTCATTACAATAGTTATAAGGCAGACAGGTCTTTTTATCAATGGAATAAGAAATTTATGCCAGATTTATCTTTTGTACTACATGCCAAGTAGTATTAGCAAAGGAATAACAAAGTACTACAAAGTAATTAACAAAATAGCCTTCAGAGAGTGTAGTTTATGGACAAATGAGCATTATCTATTCAAAGTACCAACTTTTTATGGGTATTTTACTTTCAAACATATAATTTATGATAAATTTATAAATGTTTGTAAGTAAAATTCAAAAGGTGTTACACTGATTTCTTACAAAACGAAAACTGGCAGGTTATCTTTTCAACATAAATTAATTTTTTTTTTAAAAAGAAATGACCCATAAAGTACCAACTCTTTGTGGGTTTCCTCCATTACATGAACAAATATTCTGCTCTTTATGGGCATTTCACTCTGAATCATTTAATTTATGTTAAATACATAAATGTTTGTAAGTAAAATTCAAAAAGTGTTGCACTAATATTTTTTTGAAAGGGAAACTGGTAGGTTTTGTATTTAACATAAATTAAATATGTGAAAGCAAAAAAAAAAAAAATTACCCATAAATCTATGTCTTGCAAATCTAAACTAGTAAAATAGTTTCAAACAAAATTAAACATTAAAATAAACTGTAATTTATACACATTAAAATATCTGTAATTTATACACATTTTGCAACTACTACTTTGTGTTTTCTCTGTAATGAATTTTTTAACTATTGAGAACTTAAGTTTTGTCTTGCAAATCTATACTAGTACAATAGTTTTAAACAAAATTAAACATTAAAATAAATGTTTGAAAAAGAACAAAAGCACATTTATTACTTGCAGTAATGTAACAAAATTTTCTCAACCATTATCAATATTTTCACAAAACTATTAAAAACTAGCAATTGACAATATTAAAAAGGGATAATTTCAGAAACCTCCCCTGAGGTTTCTGACAATTTCACTGACCTCCCCTGAGGTTTCCACAATTACACTGACCTCCCCTGGCAGAACTTGGGACCCAATTGCTGACATCATATAATGCAAAATTACTATTATACCCAAGACATTTTGTGTTTTGGATAGTATTGGATTGCATTTCTATTTATTTAATGTATGGTTATGAAATTTGTAATGATATTACTCTTGGATTGCAGTTTTGGTTTGCACCTTATTACTGTTAAGGTTTTATAAATGACTGTTTTAGTTCTTGGATTGCACCTTACCTCCAAAATTTGGGAATTTACCCAAATTTTCCATTTTCTAATATTCCTACAAATATGCAAAATTATGCATATCCCTCAAATCTACCCAATATTAATGTTTTGTTAAACTCTAAATAACAAAAATATGAAATATATTATTTAAATATATTTTAGTTACACACAAGTTGGATGGGTAACTAGTGTGTCAGAGAGTTGCCATAATCTCCTTAAACCCGCATGCGGGTTTAAAGAGTATTCGGATATTCTCATATGCACCTATGCAAATCGAACCAACCGGATATCTTATCCGTATCCCATTTTTTTAAATAAAAATCTTATAAATTTGAAAAATAAAATCAAATTTAGATGTATTAGGGTTTTAAAAATATTATATAAGTGATAAAAATTTTATAAATTGTAAAAATAAAATCAAATTTAAATAATTAAATGTTATATTTGATAAGAAATAATACAATAATCATAATAATGATAATACAATAATATTGATGTAATAAAACTGCCATTAATTTAAATATTTACTTATAATGCCCAAAGAGCCTAATTACCAATTTTTTCTTCTCGCGCTCAAATATAACATTAACCCGCATGCGAGCTAACCTTGAAATAGAAAAAACACAGAATCCCGCTTGCTGCAATAATGTTCTTTAGTGCTGCAATTATAAGAAATTAGTATAAAATATTAGTAAATTATAAAAGTACATTTTCAATTATATGAAATTAACAAATTTTGCCACCTATGTTGATGAAAATTTTTATTTTTTGCTAAAAAATAAAGAATAATACTATAGCATTAAAAGGCAATTCGTCAGGCAAATATCCTTCAAAAGGCAATGCTACTTTAAACATATTTTTCTACTTTTGCCCACGTCAATTCATCAGGAAAAGTTTTCGTTTTCCCACCATTTTTTTACCACCAATTTTTTTCCTTTTCGCCCAAAAAAGAATTTAGACGGACATTAACTTATAGTAGGTTGCAAAATGGCCTTCACAAAAGCCCCAATCTTCATCATCCTCTTCCTCATCACCCTCCTCCCGATCTCCACCAATTCTCAAGACCCCAGTTCGGATTTGCTCTTGCAGCTCGAATCCCTCCAATCCCAGTCCCCCAAAGGCGGCGTTATCCATCTCACTGATTCCCTCAAACGGATTCTATCCATTCCAACTCATCGTCCCTGTGCTTTCCTCGTCTTCTTCGACGCCCAACAACTCCACTCCAAACCCGAACTCTCCCTCCCTTCTCTCAAATCCGAGTTCTCCCTCGTCTCTAAATCCTTTTTAGCCAACAACCCTCCAACTTCTCACTCAAAACTCTTCTTCTTCGACATCGAATTTCAAGAATTCCAGTCCTTTTTCGCCCTTTTCGGAGTAAATTCTCTGCCCCACACCGATGTCAAGAAAGACTCCGTCCAGATAAATGCATCAGATTTCTCGAGGCTCGCCGAATCCATGGCTGAATTTGTCAAGGCCAAAACGAAGCTGAGCATTGGGCCAATTGATCGCCCCTCTTTGATTTCTAAGAAGCAATTGATGTTTCTCATTGCTGTTATTCTGATTTCGGCTCCATTCTTGGTGAAAAAAGTGATTTATGGGAACACCCTTTTGCACAATAAGAGTATTTGGATGACCGGAGAGATTTTTGTCTACTTTTTCAGTGTCTCCGGTTCAATGCATAACATAATTAGGAAAATACCCATGTTTTTGGTTGATAGGAATGACCCTGGGAAGTTGGTTTTCTTTTATCAGGGGGTCCGGGATGCAATTGGGAGCTAAAGGGTTCGCGGTTGGGTTCTTGTACACTGTGGTGGGATTGTTGCTGGCTTTTGTTACTCATGTTATTGTCTATGTGAGGAATAGGAATGCTCAGAGGTTGGTGATGTTTATTTCCTCCTGGGCTGTTCAGATGATTTTTGTTGGCATTCTTGTCGCATTTCTGGTTTCTTGATTTTAGTTTGTTCTACCATGTTAGTTTTTGTTAGTGTTTCAGATAAGGAAAATTGACGTTTTATTTTTGGTGTAAATTAACAATGTACCTTTTATTTTGCTTTTGTGCTCATATTCTGTATTTGCAACTGTTGATAAAAAAATTGAATCATGTAATTGGCAGTGATTTATGTATCTTTTTGGTGTTGTCTTGGTGAAATGCTTGTAATAAGCATAGCAATCACTTGTTTTCTCGTTTTCTATGGTATCTGTTCTAGATCTTCTTTCACATGTAGATATGGCGTTGAGATAAGTTTCCGACTAAATGAGGAAAGGTGCAATTTTGAATGGTAAACCTGCGGCCAAATTGCAAATCACATGCCAAATTATGAACTAGAGCTATAAGTTGGCATTTGCAGTTGGTAGTGGGTGTTTCTTCAGGAGTTGGAAGAATTTGATTCACAATTCCATAACATTTTAAAAGGCTATACTACGTACTCAGTAATTAGACTAGAGAGGATGATGCTTGAGTGCTAGAGCTTAGTGCAAGAGGATACTGCTATATTATTTGTGATATAAGTAATTCTCAATCAACTTGCACAACGGTGATCTTTATGGTAGTTTTCTAGTTCGAGTAAGAATAAGTACTTTGTAAAATCTGTTTTGCTTGCTTTCCTGGAATTTAAGTTTCATGTCTTACATGGTAGTTTGTTCTCCATATAGCATTATTTTATACTATATAATCACAAACTTTTTGCTGGATGTAGGTTGGATTTTCTGTTAACGGAGTAATAATACTAACTTTTATGTGGGTTTTGAAGGCATTCCTTGAGGTAATACCTTTTCTTTTCACATGAATGGTTCCCATTTTTGGTGCCATTCTTGAAGTAAATTTCATTGTGAATGTTTTGCAATGTCCCGCCACTTGCCTAACTTACTAGTTTGATTGGAATACAATATTAAGGGGTGCTGGTTTTCTATGGAATTAATACACCATGACAAACAGCAAAAGTAATTTCAGAGATCTAGAACAAGAAAGTTGTTTTTTGCTTTTAAATGGCAAAGAAACATTCTAGTTATGTTGGTACACATTGCTCCTACTTGACACCTTATATCATGATCGACATTACTTTGGTTATCATACTTGACACCTTGTATCCTCTGTGGTGCATTAGTTTGGATTGTTTTGGTTTAGTTTAGTTTAGTTTATTTGAATGTTTTAGCTAAGCAAGTGAACTGAAGTTGCTTTTCCTTTAGTGTTGTGCTTATCGTCTTATCAACTGGTTATATTGTTCATAGCAGTACTTATATCAGTACTTGTTATAGTAGTGCTTGTTGCCTTATCAACTTGTTATATTATTCCTTTGAGGCTGAAGTTTAATAGCAGTACTTATTTCTTGAGCTAATTTGGTGCATTAGTTTGGGCCTGATTTTGATTTTCCTTGGGGCTGATTTTGAATGTCCAGCTTTAATTATTGAGGTTCTTATTGGATTGCAAATTTTAGCTAAGCAACCGAACTACAAGAGATATAGTGAAATTGGGAAATGGCAAGGTTTAGTGAAATTTTGTCTGATGTTAAAAATTCCCCCTTGTGTTGAAATTTGGTATTTTTTTTTCACGACAAAACAGCCTAGCAAATTGTCACACTTAAAAGACAGTATCTTTTATCGGAACAAAACAATGACTAAATTCGTTTATATTATTCCAATCTTGTTTGCCACATCCAAAGCATCGTAGTCTGGAGTCAACCGAACATATGCTTTCTTTGTTCCATCAGACCTGATCATAGTGTTCACTTTCTTGATCTGTATGTCGTACATCTTCTTCACTGCATCTTTGATTTTCTTCTTATCAGCACGGATGTCAACTATGAATACCATGGTATTGTTATCTTCAATCTTTTTCATGGCAGATTCAGTAGTCAAAGGATATTTGAGAATCTGATAATGGACCAACTTATTCCTAGGAGGAGCACTGATGCGTGGGTACTTCGGGTTCCCGTCCTTTTTCAATGTCTTAGGACGATGGAAGGTAACTTTGGTCCGGATCTTCTTGGCTTTCTTCTTAAAAGTTGTCCCAGATTTGACAAATTTGGCAACCTTGGCTATAGGGTGTTGTTGAACTTCATTATGATATTTGAATGCTTATATGATATTTTGACATTTCGTAATGCAATGGATGCATTCATTTGCTAATTATAAATCATTGTCATTTTTTTCCATTTATAGATATAATTGTTGTAGGAAAATTTTCAATTTTCATGGTGATAAAGAGTTATCATTGAATCAGAATTTTTCATTAATAACAATATATAGTTGCACTTAAATGTTCGCTTTTGTTTATATGCTGATTTTAAGTTTAAGGATGGAGTGTAATTACTTGTAAGATTTTTTTTGTTTATTGTACCAGTTGTCATTAGATTTGGTTCAAGAATGGCTAGCAGAGAATGCCAAGGAATCAATATTGGGACAGGACATGAGTATTAGTGGAATAGCAACTTATCAGCCATTTGATGGATTGATGGAGTTGAAAGTGGTAAGTACTTTGACATTACGTCTCATTTCTATCTGTTGTGCAGTTAATACTTGTTGAGTTGCGTAAAAACCTCTGAAGTTTATTGCATTTCCTGCTTCTACTGTGCAAATTTTTCTGAAGCAATTTCTGTTCTGAAGTGCTATTGACTCTATTAAAATTGAAGGAGAAACTTCACATGCAGCAAGTAATTTGAATGAATGCCTTCTATCTGTTTTATGGTTAATACTTGCTGGGTTGCATAAGAATCTCTAAAGTTTATTGCATTTTCTGCTTCTACTGTGTTAATTTTTCTGAAGCAATATCCATTCTGAAGTGCTATTGACTCTGCTAAAATTGAAGTAGAAACTTCCCATGCGGCAAGTAATTCGATTGAATGCCTGCTTTGATGATGTATATTTAATTCATATGAAGTATCTTTTGGTAAGTGCTTTAGAATGAGTAGAATCTTGGTGAAGAATCTCCACTTGCGATACAAAATTGAGTGTGAAGCTAGTTGATATCCTGATTCTATCTAAACTAAAGACAGAAAAACAAGGGAAAGACATTCGAAATGAAGCAAATATGTCCTGCATGAGTCTAAATCATTCTGTCAATGCACAAAATCGTGTCATGAAGACAATCTTTGGCAGATGTCACAGCACAAATTAGTCATGTATGTTGTACTACTTCTTTGAACTACTGGAATTTGCAATGCGTTCCATTGGTAGCAGAGTACAGGCAAGAAAATGAAAAACTAGATTAAAAAAATTCCAAACGTATTTAAGACTCAGGGCTTGCTTTTGCCTGCCTAAAGTCTCAAAAATCTTGAAAATGATTACTGTTTCATGTTTTTTGGTAATCAATTTGTGGTTTTCAAACAATGAATTACAAGTTTGGTCACTACAATTTGTTGTATGTGATTTGTCACTTGTAAATAATGGCTTTGACATTCCTGTGTATCCTAACCAAAGTATTGTGTCTGCATAATTATGATATTGACAAATGTGCTTAATGAACACTAGTTGCTAACTCACTTTAGTTAAAAGATGATAGTTTTGAATATGTTTCTGCTTCTTGTAGTAGCACTTTCTCTCCCCCTGCCACTGTTGGAGTCTTAAAAGTAATTATTCTGGCAATAAGTCCACAGGTTACTATTAACATGGACTCGGATAAAGTTTGACTTTTTGGCTCTAGGTGTAGCTCTTATAGCTTCCAGCTATTAGGATATCCAATTTGTCTCTTCAATTAGCCAACTTGCAATCATGTGTACGGTGCTTGGACTTGCTTTTTATCTTGTTGCTGTATATGCTGATTCACTATTCTTGTAGGCAGTAGTTGGATTCATGTCTCAAGTAATGGACAAATTAGTATCCTTCAAAAGTGCTTGGTAGGTGACAATATTAACTTGTAGTATCAAGCCTCAAAAGTGCTTGGTAGGTGATAAGGCTGCTTTTTCTTGTTTATTAGACCTTATGTATAGTTACATATTTTTAGATATATGAAATCCTATGACATTCAAAGCTTCAAAGACTACTTTTGGTCTAAAACACAGTGAAGTTTGCAAAGTTGTTTCTCATAAATGTGGAATCGTTTGTTGCTGTCCTTTGACATCTTAATATTAAAATAAAGAAGTGGAACAATTCTGCCCATATAATCCTTGGCTCTTAATGAATGTTATTAAACTTCCATCCTCTGGTAGACTCTGTTTCCGAACTACCCATATAATGTCTCTTTTTCTACTCTTTGTATAGCCACTATCTAGATGAGACTTAAAACAAATGATTCATTTTATTTTTTGGTGACTCCTTAACTAATTTTCCTTGTTTTAATTTTTCTATCATCTACTAATAACTTTACTATTTTATTGCAGATATATTGCTCATTTTAGAGGTTTGGAAGATTAGCAGTACGGCTTACGTGTCGACTCAAAAACTATGGTTATAGTGCTATCTTAAGTTTAGAAAATGTTTCGGTAGCACGGAAAATGTTTTGGGACTTGGAATTGTTTTTTAGTGTAGCCTTGACTTATATGGCAAAATTTGCTCTATTGAAACTTATCAAACTATTTGTAGTGTGATGTTGCACTTATTTATGACATTTGAATATTTAATATGTTATTATGGCATTTCCTATTGTAACGGGTGTCTACGTTTGTTATTTATTAAACATTGCTGATGTTTTCATTTTTTAGATATTATTGTAGTAGGAAAATCATCAAACTACACATTGCAAGGTGTTGTAAATGAGTAGCATTTCTCAAGCAGGTTGTCTTTATTGACAATTGTTGTTGTCACTGAATCAAAACTATTCATTGATAAGAAGTTGTTGTCACAGTTGATAAGGGGTTTATTGACAACAAAGTTGTCACTAATTAATATATACACTGACTATGTTGCTTCATGCATCATTGACAAGAAAGCATGTCGTCACTAAATTTGTAGCTTTTATTGACAACATATCTTGTCATAAAAAAGTTTTTATTCACTGACGACTTTAAAGTCGTCACTGTATACTTTTACCGACGGAAATTCAGTGACGACTCTGTGACAACCGAAATGTTGTCAATAAAAGTCATCAGTGACGACTTTTTGCTTTTTTGTGACGAAAAGTAGTTGTCATTGAAGACCAAAATTCTTGTAGTGTGCTTTCACTGTATCCATCAGTTGCTCGAAGAAGTTCATAGTACGAAACTCTTTCTTGTGTTGGCACTAATACCATGTTTGGTCCTTTAGAATCCTGATATTTCTTCCAATATCTTCTGAAGACAATTGCTAAGGCTGCGACAACTACAGCAGCGAGTCCCAGAGGAACAAATACAAATAGAAGCACCTTTTTGGTTATCGACCTGTGAATTGAATTAGTTCTTGGGCAAGATGGCACGTGAAACCTGGAATCTCCGCACAATGCATCGTTGAACAGAAAAGATTCAGCAGTAAATGGTTATAAGAAACGTCAAGCTCTTGGAGGTCCCGAATCGCCTCCATTGACTTTGGTACGAAGCCAGAAAGATTGTTGTGCGATAGGTAAAGTCCTTGTAAGCTGAGCATATTGCCAAATGACTCTGGGATAGATCCATGAAATTGGTTTTGGGATAAATTTAAAATCAACAGGTTTTGCAAATCACCTGTTGTGCTGGGAATGTCACCGGAGAATTGATTCGCTGATACGTCTATAGATGTTACAGCTTTCAGAGTTCCAACTTCAAGGGGCAAGGAACCATTTAGGGAGTTTGAGGATAAGTTCAACCGCAAGAGATCTTTGAGGTTCCAAAAACTATTAGGTATGGCAGAGACTAAAAAGTTGTTTCCTAGTGTAAGATCCCGAAGAGAAGTCATATTACCGAAGCATTCTGGTAAAGACCCAGAAAACTGGTTTGTGGTCAGACCTATTAAAGTCAAGCTACGCAAATTGCAAAGGCTATCTAAGGTGCCGTTAAGATTATTATCTCCCACAGCCAAACCTTGCAGGTTTTGTAGATTTTTGAACGCTGTTGGAATACCTCCGGTCAAGTGATTCGATTGTAGATCAAGCAATAGCAAATTGGTCAAGTTGCCAGTTTGACTTGGTATGGTGCCCTTGATTTCACATGAATGTAATATCAACATCTCTAACGAAGCAGAGAGATTCCCAACGGAAGCTGGAAGAAGCCCCTTTAAGGGGTTTGGGCCCAGGTCTAAATAAACCAAATTTTTGCATTTTGTCAATGAAGTGATGAAGCTCAGCTCCATAGATGTAGGATCACTTGTTAAATTGTTGCCATACAGAGCAAGAAATTGCAGAAGTGTAAGGTCCCCGAGGACGTCAGGAATGGAACCAGTGAATCGGTTGACTTGAAGTTCTAGAACTGTTAATTTGGAACAATTTGAAATGGACACTGGTATAACTCCACCAAGGTTATTCCGATCAAGATGTATGGCAAATAACTTGGGCAGTCTGTATCCTAGGTCCCGCGGAAGATTTCCTGATACAAGATTAGATGAAAGTGCAATCCTCCGCAATGCTGAGAGGTTGAAGATGCCATGGGGAATGGAGCCAATCAATCCATTATAAGGTAACTGAAGATTCTCGAGTTGGTAAAGGTTACCCATCTCTGGTGGTATTGTACCTGCGTAGCAGATTCATTTTCAAAGGAAGCATATCTATCAAAAATTCATTTTCAAAGGAAGCATAAATAATTTTAAAAAAAAAAATTGAATGGATGTAAGCGTTTAGTTAACAGATTTCGATCTACTTCACCAAAAAATGTATTTACCTGCCAAGGAGTTGTTGGCGAAGTAGAGCCCAGTAAGCATCGTCAAATTTCCGATTTCTTTTGGAATGCTTCCCGTGATTTGATTCCATTCCAGATTGAGCCCTTGCAGGTTTTGCAGATTGCCTATCTCTCGTGGGATCGTACCTGCCAATCACACACACAGGTAGCCTAGTAGATTTATACCCATTAAATAAATGGATCTAGGTATACCCAATTATCCATTTATGAGTCACTTAAAATTCTACTCTTTTTTCTCTATTTTTTAACATGTTGTTTGAAAAAAAATAACGGTATTTTATTGATTAGATTCGTAAGAAATTTAAATTTATTTGCTTAACACTCACTAAAAGTTGAGTTGAATTGTATAATTATTTTTAAATGGATATAAATGAGTGAGTCGAGTCAACCCATTATTCACCAATTAAATGGATTTAATTGAATACCCATTTAAATCTATTCAAAATTAATGGGGGGGAAGGGGTTATTAGTATGCGGGTTTGGACGAATCAACATAATTAGATTGTAATTGATACCTTCATAACTTTTATTTTTTTTTTTTGGTGGCTGTTTTCCATAGTAAGTAGGAGTATCTAATGAAGTTTATGGACATTCAATATCATTTCACCTAGAACTTACTCCAAATATTTTCTAGTTGCATTATTGTAAATAGACCATAAGTAGTGGTGAAGCTATTCATAGACCTGATTACCTGTCAAGTTGTTACGCCCCAACACGAGAACCTTCAAACCATGCAGTTTGCCAATCTCTCGGGGAATTACACCTAAAAATTTTACATAAAGACAGAATTAATCATATTCATTTCAGAGATATATTGAAAAATGTCTTACTTCATCGAAATGTAACTAACAAGTGGAAATTTGTGTTGGCGATTCAAGCTTTTGGAGTAAAGAAGAAACTTTGGTAGAGGGACGAAGTCAAGGAAACTTTGGTCAATTCTCCTTTTGAAAAAATTAAAAAAAAAAAAAAGAAGAAGAGGAGATGGAAGGGACACGCGAAAGGGGCTGGATGTAGAGACGGCAGGCTGCCCACAGAAATTAGATTTTAAACAAGAAATTTACCCGTGTCTTAGCACGGTCTTTTTTATTTATTGTGAATTTATAAAAATATGAATAATTTAAATACAAAAATTAACAAAAATTCTAAATTTTCATTCATATTAACTTTAAAAACTTAATGTATTCTAAATGTTCACTTATTTACTAATTTTTAAAAATTTATTTATATACTTTCACTATAATATGATAATATACATCAAATAATGTATTCTATGTCAAAAACTTAATAGATGTTCTTTTTTATAAATATTCTTTTAGATAATTTAAATTTTTATAATGACCTTGAACCTAGTAGTATATATTTACATTTAATTATATCAACTTTTCAGATAATTTATATCACACTAGAAGTATATATTCATATAATAACCATGAACCTAGAAAAGATCCAGCAATCAACTTTTTTTCATCAATATATCAACAATATTGGTAAATCTGTCGGTGTAATAGTTAATTTTTTTTTTGCACTAAGTTAATTCACAATTAAGGGAAGAGATGATGAACAATTTGAATAATAATCAACAATATGGTGGTAAAAGGAAGTAATTTATGAAATATGTAAGATTTTAATAATTGTGATTTGAAAATGTTTTACTATAGTTCTATGTAATAATTTGATAGAAAACATATATCATTAACATAAAATTAGTTATTTTTTAAAGTTATTTTAGATATCATTAAGATAAGATTAGTCATTTTTAAAGTTATTTTTAAATTAGGGATAATTTTTAAACATATAATATAATATTCAATATGGATAAAACCCAAATGACCCATAACCCATTAATTCTCTTCAATTAGACATGCCACATAGGAGTGAGAAACAACTCTAATTAAAATAACTACTTTCATATATATATATATAGTTTGCCTTTGTAGCTTTTCAAGCTTTGACATGCCCCCATTCAACTACCAAATTCCATTCTATGGTGTTGTAAGATGAACTCTCTCCAAGAAGCTATAGCATATCTAACATTCTTCGTCAATTACTCTAATTTCCCCATGCGAGCCAATTCATGTTATCTGGGATTAAATTTTTCTTTACCTTTTTCCAACTGATGCGTTCATATTTTGCTTCCTATTTGACATAATTTTGTCTCTTTAACTCAAATTAATAATAACCTGCAAATGGTTCATGATATTGCAGTCGCTGATCATGTCACCTTTGGAAGTTTGGTAATTATGCTTTTAATTTTCTGGAATAAAGAAGCAGAGGTGTTACAATAGTAAATTGTTTTTAAAAAAAAAAAAAAAAAAACCAGCCATCCATGCCAAGCTGGTAAAACAGTAAATAGTGTTGAATCCCAGTGCCAAACAGGGAAAAATGACCATTAATTGCGGTTTGGTATGCAAAAAGGCAAAGCAAAAGCATTACCTGTGAAGTTGTTAGTCACGAGGGATAAATACGTAAGCTTCTCCAGATTTCCAATTTCTTTAGGTATGTGCCCGCTAAACCTGTTGGATGACAAGTCTAGCGATTGAAGTTGAGAAATCTTGCATAAGCTCAATGGTATTTGACCAGCTAAATAATTCCGATAAAAAGTCAGCAATTTGAGGGCTGAAAGATTTCCTATCTTTTCTGGAATATTTCCTTCCAGGAAATTGTCGCTTAGATCTAACTTTTCCACTCTTGACAAGTTGGATATAGAAGAAGGAATAAAACCACTAAAACCATTGCCGTCCAGAAACAAGAACTGGAGTTCTGGGAAGTGACCAAACCACATTGGAATCTCTCCAGTGAAGTTGTTAGTGGTTAACCTGACGAACCTCAGGCGGCATAGACGTGACAACTCTTCGGGCAGATTTCCGTGGAAGGAGTTATTTCTCAGATCAAGAGAAACAAGAAAGGAGAGGTTTCCCAAATCCGGAGGTATTGTGCCGGTGAGTCCCATGTTTGAAATATTTAAAGCAGTCACTCTTTGGTGTCGAGAGCTGCACTGGACTCCTATCCAGTCACAGACAGAGGATGCAGCAGCTGCAGAAGACCAGTTTTTTGGCAAGAATTCTTGCTGTCCTGAAGTGATATGGGCTTTCAGGGCTAAAAGAGCAGATTGATCAGTGCCTAAACTTAATCTTTTCATGGCTGTGCAGCCGGTCATCATTAGATGGTGCAGCAAAACAAGTACTGCAAGAGGGAACAAGTAAAAGTAGTGTTTCTTCATATCGACCGGACCTATATGATCAATCAATAGTCCTAATCGGCGATATATTATCATTCGTCCATTCTGTTGCAACCTCTATATATCGTCATTGTTTTGGAATTATGTGACCGCGTGTAATACATTTTAGCATTTACCTCTCTCAGTTATCCAAACTTTGCTTTAAAAAACCTTTTCCGCTGAATTTTGATCAATTTTTCACTTTTTCCGACTCTCTCTCTTTTTTTCTTTTTAAAAATAAATTTCCCTTCCCCCAAGTTGACTTCTCTAGTTGGGGTGACTTTGGGAATGAATACGACTGTAGTCTAGAGCAAACACTTAGGTAGATCGAGTGTATATAGGTTTGGTGGTTCAAAATTTAACACACCATTTTACCAACTCAAGTATTTAAAGATGTGGCAAAATTTGGACCGATAGATCTACAAGATCGGTATGTATGTATGTGTATATATATATATATATATATATTTGTACACAATAGGGTACTATTAGTCTAACTCAAAGAAATTATGAACGTACTAATCATCTATTTTCTGGCTAGCCTTTGATGTGGATATATTCTGCAGGTTGCTGTTAATAATTCTTAGCTGATAAATTCCAACATGTGACATGTCAACTACCGTGTAAAGGACGTTGGAAATTTTGTTAACCATTCGATATTGGACCATAACATTTAGTAGTAGGCTTCTGTAATAATCGAAGAACCAGACTTTTCTTTCCTCTCAACATCGCCAACAACGGGACTTCATGCATGGGACGGGACTTTCCAGTTAGACAATAATAATGTCAAGTGGAGCTTAATTCGCTGCTTCAGTGAAGTAGTTGATCGTGGCACATACTCGTAAATCGCAACGGATCTTCTGTACCACACCCTGTCTCACATCCTGTCCCATTCATCAGAATCTCACCAAGTGTCACTTAATAAACCAATCTCTCAAACAACCCAACTTAGATCATATTAAGTTAATTAATCGATTAATCGGACAAAGAAACTTAATTTCTTTAACCAATATAACCAAAACCAAGAAAAATAAAAACTCTTTAACCAAAATTACAATTTATCAACGCCTGTAACTCAAACAAATTACCTCTGTCCTCTTCATCATCTCTTCTCACAAGAAACAACTTTTTTACGAGGATTAGATAAAAACATAATTACGGTTGTTTCAGCCTCTGCTTCACTGACTCTTCTTCTTCTTCCTCCTTCGGATTCCTCAAAACCCTTTTCCCTTTTCCCCCCTCCAACCCATCGATGGAATTCCAACGGCTTTTTCAAAATTGTCACCTGCGCTGCTCCGAAGCATGGCATTCACTCCATTGAAGCAATTGAAACTAGTATCGGGTATCAAGCTGCTATCTTTATCTTTTGCCTTTCTAGAAAATCCAGATTGCTTTTTAGTGCACCTTGGACGAGTTTATTGCGGTTTCATTTTTTGTTCTCTCGGTTGCGGTTTTTTTTTTATTTGTTTTGCCATTTGTAGTGATTTTTTTATTGTTTGAGGTTTTTGATGGATGGCGTTAGGTGGGTTTTGTTTCTGGTTAAAGTGGAGGGATATTTGGGCGGTTGATTGTTGAATGTACTGAGTGAAGCTGCTGATTGGTTGCATCGTGGATACTTTACTAAATGTTCTGAAATTTCATCCTTTGATCTGTGATAGGGACTGTGAATTCAATTGGCAACCTAGGCTGGCTTATGGATTGGATTTCCGTTCATGCCTTTCTGTTTAACCTTTACTTGTTTGAGTGTAGTTCCTTGTTTTGCAGTGTGGAAAGCATATTCCAATAATAGGTTTAGGCGAGCCTATTCCTATCTTCTGTAGTGCTGTTCTTCTGTTAGTTTTTGGGGTCCTTTTTTTTATTATTTCTCTAATAACAATTATAGCTTTAATTTTTTGCCCTTTCATTATTCTGAATTTATACTTGTAAAGCTCACTCAGAGCAGAAGGATGATAAATTAGTCTTTAGTTTGTTTATCCAATCACCTCATTTACTTTTTTGTCTTTTTTTTTTGGGACAAACTAGTTATCGGTTGTACAGTGTTCTCCAAAGCTTTATTAAATGGTGAGCGCAAAAAAGAAGCTAGAATCTACATAACAATTTTTATCCTGTGTCTGAAAAATGAAAAATGATGAATTTGCTCGAACAGGTGGTGAGCTTAGCAAATTACATCAAATTGGCCTGCGTAGCTAGAAAGAAAATGCCCTGAAAGCAAATTATTTTTTTAAAAAAAAGATGCAAAGATTACCAGAACCGTTCAAATTCCGGAGGTAGCAGAATTAAGTTGCATGCTCAAACAAAACTTCGGACCAATAAGAAACCCACCAAGGTTTTTAAGAAATAAGTTGTTTCTCACCTTTGGGAAGAGCTTCGAAGCTTTATCTAATCCTCGTAAAAAAGTTGTTTCTCATGAGAAGAGATGATGAAGAGGACAGAGGTTATTTGTTTGAGTTATAGGGTTTTTCCCATTGATAAATTGTAATTTTGGTTAAAGAGTTTTTATTTTTCTTGGTTTTGGTTATATTGGTTAAAGAAATTAAATTTCTTTGTCCGGTCAATCGATTAATTAACTTAATATGGTCTGAGTTGGGTTGTTTGAGAGGTTAGTTTATTAAGGGACACTTGGTGAGATTCTGATGAGTGGGACAGGATGTGAGACAGAATGTGATACAGAAGATCCGTTGCGCTCATAAATAGAGGTGTGTGACTTGGACTGGTTTGGATTGGGTAGAACTTATCATAAATTGGCAATACTGAAAAATGAGCAAGTAATAGTTGAATAATAAGAATATAAAAATTTGAACTAAGTACTATAAAAGTTAACATAAAAATTTTATCCAAAAATTTTGAACCCGTAATATTTTTTTCATGTGTAAATTTAAAATTTCATTTTGAAAAGGTAGGAAAAAAGGGTAAAACTTATCATAAATTGGTAATACTGAAAAATAAGCAAGTTAACAAACTAAGAGAAAATAAAATGATAAGATAAAACCAACAAATAATAATAATAATAATAACAAAAATAGTTAACAAAATGAAAAATTTGGAAAAAAAAAGGGTGGGGAAAGAGAAGAGATTTGGGGAAAAATTATTCTAAATGGGTCAAATTGGATTTGATGGATTACCTAATAATACCCACTTAATAAATGGGTATTATTGGGTAACCCATTTATACCCATATGCAAAAATTTAAGATATCCATACCCATCTATTCATGGACGGATATAAGTAAATTTAGTTAAATGTGTTGGTTTGACACCTATATTCATAAGCAACGCTTTTGAAGGGGTATCCATTCTTGCCTGCAGTGGTGGTGCCAAAGATTTTCATGGTCAGCGGGACAATTTTTGTTACATCCTAATAATATATATGTTGGATTTTTTTTTAAACCAGTGTCCTGTAAACACTCTTTAATACACCTACATTCCACTCAACCTATCGTATATACACACACACTAACACTAATAATTACTACTTTCCCTTGTATTCACACACTTTTTCTAATTAATTCCCTTGCATTTATATGATTTCTCTAATTAATTTTATATTTCTAAAAATCTAACACCTGAAATATATCTTAATGGGTATCCATTAGACAGATCGTAATATGTTTATATCCTTGTCATACTCACGTTCACACAAGTGTGAACGCTTGAGATTTTAAGTTTTGCAACAATATTCTCTTTTTAGGGGTGGGTATATAAGTCTAAATTTTAGAAATAAAAGTCATAATTAAATTGAGAGGTTGATTTATATTATAACGCACACTTGAGATTTTAAGTTTTGCAACAATATTCACTTTTTAGGGGTGGGTGTATATGTCTAAAATTTAGAGAATTAAATTGAGAGATTGATTTATATTATAGCACTATTAATTTTTTTTTGGGTGTGTTTCCAACTCCACGGTTGGCCATACGCCTCCAAAATTTTATGTACTATTTTACATAAAAATTGTTCCTTGGAGTCGGAAAAATATACGTAAACAAACCCAAATACATGCACATTGGCAATAAAAAGAGCATGCGCATTATTTACAACATTATCTCTATCCGTATATAGAATATATTCAAACTATGCCTGCCCACCACGTTAAATCAAATCTTCCAATTACTGGACGTTCTAATTACTATTTTTCTCACCTTCATTAATTTGATGTGAATCTATTCTGCAAGTTTCCGTTAATAATTCTTACAACATCTGAGATGTCAATTAACAACCACAAGCACCAAGTCTTCAGCGTGCAAAGGGCGTTGGAAATTTTGTTAGCATGGACGTGTAATAGTTAGACTTTTTCTTGATAGTCATTAATAGGTCAGGATGTATAAGGCATTTGAATTGACTTCTATAATAGGCAGAACCATACTTTTTCTTTACCTCTCAACATCGCCAACGATGGGACTTCAAGGGACCTTCTAGTTAGCAATGTCCTTTTTTTTTTTTTTCATTTTTTCAACTCGCAATTAGCTATATGTCTCCAACATTTAATGTGCAATTTTACAATTAAAATAATTGTTACTTGTAGTACGAAAATTATACGTAAACAAACCCAAATACATGCACATTCGAATTAAATCTTTGAACTATGCCTGCAAACCATAGTAAATCTTCCACAGTCAATTACAACCAATTTTATAATTAATATCCAAGAGAAAAGAAAATAATAACAAAAACTACATACTTTTTTTTATTATTAATGTTTAGTACGATTTGTAGATTACATATGCTAATAGGTATAACGTAACTAATATGATTAGCAAGAACTGTGATTCAATTCTCCTTGAATTTTCAACCAACATTCAATTACTAGAATTTAAACAACGAAATATGGAGCACAACCACATATAAATAGTGATATTACCTAGTCAAGGAAAAGTTAGGAGTAAGTATAGTGTAAATTTCTTAAATTGTTATTTGTTTAAGATTAAATTAGTTGGGAATTGGGATTAGACGTGTAAATGACCTTAATCAACCTCGACACTATAGTACTCAAGCTTGTTATCTATCGTGTCAAATTTAAATAAGCTTTTATCAAATTGGGCTCGAAACTTTTATCAAATTGAGCTTGACTCCAGCACGAGTAGGTTAAAATTTTTACATATAAATTTTACATATTATACTAATTTAGTCAAAGTCAATTTGAGTTGAAACTTTATTGAATACATATTTATTATGTTAGAATTATGTAGCATTGTCTCGATTTTTAATTTAAATTTGTGTCTTGTTGATACCATATATTCTTAACTTCTTTATAACCTTCTTTTGGAAATATATGCAGTGCCGTGTAAATCTTTTACATGTTCTAATGACCATATACAGTAGATTTTAGCATTTAGTATCTCTCTAGTTATCCAAAATTAGCCTTATAAAACCTTTTCCGCTGAATTTTTTTCTTTTTTGAATAAATTTCCCTTCCTCCGAGTCGAGTCCTAGTTCCCGGAACTTGGGGATGATCAAGACTAGTCTAGACTTTAGCGGGAGATATATACCTGCAGTCCAGTCCAGCGCCAATTAATGTACACTCAATTGACCACCTGCGTGGGACTGCTCCAATTTGGAGCAGGAAATTATTTGCGTAATATAAGCGCCAAGGGAGACTCACTCACACAACATAGAGGAAACTTTTTCGGCAAGTCCCAAAACCATTCATTTTGTACGGTTTTAATCCCTCAACTATAAATTGCTGTATATAAGCCCTTGAACCAAAAAAATATATATGTTCAGTTCAAGGACTTCTTCAATTTTGAGCATTAAATCTAATGGAATTAGGGGCAAAACCAACCAAACAGAAAAATCAACCCACGATTTGATTAAAAACCAATTATATATATAATAAATCAACTAATAATATGGAGTTTAATTTTTCTTCATCTTCTTTCATCTTTCATCCTCTCTAGTCATAAATCTTTTAGCTAGGCTGTTTTCGTGGATCGATTTTTTTTGCTTGGTCGGTATTGCCCCTAATTCCGTCATCTCAAACGGCCAAGAAGCTATGACATATCTAACATTCTTCATCAATTTTCCCATGCGAGCCAATTCCTGTTAGGTGTTTATGTGGCATTAATTTTTTCTTTACCTTTTTCCAACGCATGTGTTCGTATTTTGGTTCCTAATGTTGATATAATTGTGTCTCTTTAACTCAAACTTAATTAGGATATTTCCGGAATGTGTGGCCTGTGAGCTGTGACATTGACAAATGTAAATGAAACAATATATATTTGTACACAAACTTGTACTAGTCTAACCGAAGAATTTCTGAACGTACTTAATTATCATCAGTTTTCTCGCCTTTGATGATGATCTATTCTGCAAGTTTCTGTTAATAATTCTAATCTAATAAATTTCAACATTGTGACATATCAGCAACTTTTCTTTAGAGTGTAAAGACCGTTCCGTGTTAGACCGCTTGATATTTAGAACTTTTCTTCCATAACTTTTCCTAAGTCTGGATGTACGAGGCAAATACTATCGTTTAAGATTGCCTTTCGATTGATTGAGATATTTGGCGAAAGATTTAAAATCCTCTCAAATTTCTTTAGTTGTTCGCATTATTTAAGAGATAATTGAATTTGTAAACTATCACTTATTTTAGTATTTAAATATTTTTTTAATAGCTGATGTATTACAACATACCCAAATATCTCTTAATTAAGAAATTTAAATAATTAGAGCAATTTAGATGGATTTCAAATTCTTCGTCAAATTTCTTAACCCAAACGAAGGGTTCATTTCAATTGACTTCTGTAGTAGAAGAACCAAATTTTCTTTTCCTCTCAACATCGCTAGCAACAGGACTTCATGGGACTTTCACACTCACACGAGTGTGAATGCTTGAAATTTTAAGTTTTGAAACAGTCTTCACTTTTTAGGGGTGGGTATATCTAAAATTTAGAAATAAAGTCAGAATGAAATTGAGAGATTGGTTTATATTATAACACTATTAAGTGCTTTTTTTTTCTTGGTTTTCCAACTCCGAAAATAAAAACCGCATGCGCATTATTTACAACATTATCTCTATCCTTTGTATAGAATATTCAAACTATGCCTGCCCATTACGTTAAATCAAATCTTCCAAAGTTAATCACAACCAATTTTATAATCAATAACCAAGAGAAAAGAAAATTAACAACAAATACTCTACATGTGTTTTCTACGTTTAGTTCTATTGTAGAAATGTCATCAAATGCAAATCAATGGATAGTCTTTCGTGGATCCTAAATTAATTTTTGAAGCATTTATCAATAATTGATTAGGAAAAATTGTATAGAGTTACACTCTGAGGAGTATATGGAGAAATGTTAAAACTTCAATCAAGATCTCCCACTCATACCCTTTAAAGAGGAATAGCATGCCTGCTCTTGGTTCCCAGATTCTCTTTGGCAATAAGTCTTTTGAGTCAAAGGGTAGTCCAGTTCTGAAGTGAATTGACTAATGTGCTTTTAATTTAGAGCAATTTACAATAGAAGCTGGCATAAGTCCACCAATGTTATTTCCGCTAAGATGAAACTTTTCTAAATTTGGCCATTGGTTACCAATATTCGAAGGAAGATTGCCTGTAAGGTGATTGAATCCCAATGAAACCACGCTCATCGTTGAGAGGTTGAAGATCCCAACCGGTATTGAGCCATTTAACTCATTGAATATTAAATAAAGTGCCTCCAGTTTGTGAAGGTTGGACATCTCTTTTGGTATTACACCTATAAAATAATGCACATGGAAGTGGCAAGTGTAAATTCTTAAAGAACCAAGACATGAGAGATTTAAGATGTTATGGAACATGATTTTGGAAATATCACTGCTTAAATGTAAGCTGGTACCTGTTAAGAAGTTGTGCGCAAATTCAATCGATGTAAGCTCGGCCAAATTCTCAATTTCTCTGGGTATAGAGCCTGTGATTTGGTTTCTTTCTATCCCAAATTCCTTGAGGTTCCTAAGATTGCCGATCTCTCGTGGAATGACCCCTGCCAATTTCAAAGATTTATTTGTAATATGAAAGCATGCCCACAAATAAGTGATAAAAAAAAAAAAGACACCGACTACCGAACTGTAAAAGAAATATTCTACTGACAGTTTGTGAAAAATGATAAATTGGAAGTATGTATACGCCGTCATGCGTATGCCTCTCAAGTTGTGAACATTGAGATAAACTTGATGGGATTTGACCATGTATCTGGTTGAAAGATAGAGCAATCTTTCTGAGATTTGGAAGATGGCGGCAAAGATCAACAGGAAGAGTTCCAGATAAGTTGTTACAAGTGAATCCAACTTTTTCCATGGTTGAGATGTTGAAGATGGACAAGGGTATGGAACCAGTGAGCTGATTGATTTCAAGATTCAGAAACTTCAAGCTCTGGAGGTTCCCAATCTGTTCAGGAATCTTCCCTCTCAGGGAATTTCCCCTAAAATCCAGATGTTTGAGTTTTGACAGGTTAGAGATTGAAGAAGGAATTAGGCCAGTAAAATCGTTGTCGTACAAAGCCAAGACTTGAAGTTCTGGAAAGTGACCAAACCACATTGGAATGGCCCCAGTGAAGTTGTTGGAGCTTAAACTGATGAACTTGAGGCGGCGTAAGCCTGACAACTCATGGGGCCGATTGCCATGGAAGTAGTTGCTTCCCAATGTCAAGAGAAACAAGAAAAGAGAGGTTCCCCACTTCTGGAGGAACGGTGCCTGCAAGTCCCATGCTTGAAATATTCAAAGCCATCACTCTCTGGTGCCGAGAGCCGCACTCGACTCCTATCCAGTCACGAACAGAAGAGGTTGCAGCAGCATTTGAAGACCAGTTCTTTGACAAGAATTGGTGAGGATCTGAAGTGATGTGGGCTTTGAGGGCTAAAAGAGCTGATCGATCGGTTGTAACATCTGTTCTTATTATGGCTGTGGAAGTGACAATAATGAAACAGCATTGCATCAGAACAAGTGCAAGAGGGTAGCAGTAGAAAAGGCTCTCCATACCGACTTTGACGAATTTGGAACAGCTAAAAATTTGGGTCTTAATTCCTAAGACCTCAGCCTTAACTAGTAAACTACTAAATTGAGGCTTCTTCAACCTTGCCAACTTTTGCTTCTAAGGTTAGGAATGATGATAGTTTGTGGAAGGATTGCAGGTTGATTGTGAGCAAATGAACACTTGGTTGCAGGGCACTTAGACCTTTATCATGTAAATTTCGGTCATTAGTATGTGGTTTCTACTTAAATTCTCTCTTACCAATTTCCTGAAAAATAGATAGATTGTCATCGTCAAGTCAATGCAAAGTTAATTGATGCAAAGATTGGCCATTTTATTCAAAAGCTGTAGATTGGTTAGCGCATAGACGCCAGTTTGGAGTATAAAAAGGATTTCTATCTATCTTTTTTTTTAATTTTTTTTTCAAATTTAAACTTACAAGGAGTGTAGGTGCTAGTTTGGAGTATATTTAGAGATGAAAAAAAATGATTGAAAAATATGTTTGCAGAAATGTAAAAAAATTTTTGGAAAAAAATTACTTTCCAAACAAGGTAGGTCCAACTTTACGAGGCAGCAATTTTTTGGCGATGGGAATGATTCATACATATTGAATGATTCTCTCTAGTTTTTGGTCAATTCCCGAGTCTGCTTCCAATTATTATGGGAAGATGACTGAAGTCAAGAGGGACCGCCATAGTATAGTACCCTGGGTCGTTGGAAGTTGGAGGATAGTCGTTGACTCAGTAAACCAAATTAAATTAGTCGGTACAAAAATTCAAGCCCAAGAATCAAAAAGGTGTATTGCACAAATTTACAGGCAATTTGCGTAAATTCATGAAAAGTTGCTAGTATACTTCTTTTTGTCTTTCATATTAAGTTCAAAATTCACGATTAGGGGATCGAGAATTAACATAATTCATAGAGCCAGAGACATTTGTTTTATTCACAAGAATTAACATATTTCTCTTAGTTTGGCATCTTAAAATTGATACATATTATGGTTTTTCATTCTGCATGCCGACATAACCAACTAACCAGGAAACTTGTGAATAAATATTTCAGCTGAAATGTCATCAAAAGTAAATCAATGGATAATTTTTCGTGGCTTCTAGATTAAATTTTGAAGCATTTATCGCTAATGAATTAGGAAAAACTGTATAGAGTTAAACTCTGAGGAATGTTTGGAGAAATGTTACAACTTCAATGGAGATTCCACACCCCCCTCCCCTCCAAAAAAAATGTTACAACTCATATGAGGCTTCTGTGTAATGATGAATCATGTACCCTTGAACGAGAAACAGCATGCTTGCTCTTGGTTCCCTGGGGTTCTCTTTGGCAAAAAGTGTTCTGAATCAAAGGGTATTCCAGTTTCGAAGTGAATTGAGTAATGTGCTTTTACTAATGTCGTTAGTGTTGCTCATTGGATGTTGAGTCCCTCTGTTTTTGCACACAGCAATCTCTAAGGCCAACGATTAACAACACCGTGCCGTAGAAAATGGCTTCTTAGAAAATGGTGTGTTAAATCACGGGAGGTTAATAGTAAATTAGCTTGAACTAAACATTGTGGAATTTTCAGATTTTTTGTAGGACAATGATGATATTGTTCGTTTTAATTGATTTTGAAGTTTTGCATTGTGAAGGCAATTTTGCTATCTAAGCCTCCTTATCAACGTGGCATCTATTTACACGTTCGAGATCGTGGATAAGAAGCATTCCCGCTGTCGTTTTCCAAGGAAAAGTTCACTATAACGCCAAGAATTTCGTGTAAGAATATTTAGATAAGCTCAGGTGATTTTGTTAAACACATTTTATTCCTTTGTTTTTCTTGTTAGGTCTAATCCTAGAAAATCGACTAACAAGACCAATAGGATTCTTGACAACGTAATAAAAACAATAACAAACTGACAGGTCGTCAGCCTGTGCAATAATAATAATAAAAATAGAACCTAACTACCACTAAAAGCAGTCAATAATTAATCCTAGGTACTGGAGCAGGGACTCTAGGTGTGCAATGGGTTACTTGATTCACCCTGTTCCCGAAGAGTTTGCTTAACCCGATATACCAGACCGATATACCAGAATTAATTAATTGACAAAAATTACTAAATAGTAGACAGTGGCAAGTAGGGTCGTCTCCTCAGGGACTGGAGATATCTGTCTCTTTCAAAGTCCAATTGATAAAGGGGAATTTCACCGGAATGCAACTAGAGACAATTAAACAATTTAACTAAAAATGAATAAATAACTAGCGCAAATATAGCAGAAATTTAATCAGGAATAAATAAATTCTAGCCAAGGATACAACGACTTAGGCACAGTCCATTTATCCAATCATTGATGCAAGAGAGGTTCACTTAACGTATTAATAGGCTAGTTATAGTCTAACGACCAATTTTTCCTTAAATTATAGATGACCAAGGTACGACCATTAATCACCTCTAACCAGAAAAGTACTCCTAGGTACGACCGTAGGAATTAATTTTCCAATTGCATTAATAACTAGAAAAACCTAACCCTAACCAATAACACGCTACGAGAGTTATTTAAATTAGATTGCACGTTCCCCTAAGGTGTAAACACACCAGTTGCCACTAACATTAATCAATCAAACAATTACGGATTTAATTGACTAAATTGGCACGAGATTAATAAATCACATTGAACATCGGGCCCTTGACATCCAATTAATAAAATAATCCCATGAAAATTAAATCAGACAAGATGCAAATATTAATAGATAAAGGAACACGTGAAAACTAGTTAGATCTCACAGATTTTCGGGACTGAGCCGTTGAGTTGACCCTTGACTAGATGAAAGACTTAGCCACGCCGCATAATTAAATCACCACTCGAGTTAATAAATTGCGAAGGCATTGTTTTGTACTAAAAAGTAAGGAATGAAGGATGTTTTCCCCGTTGGGGAATATTGTCGAACACCTGGCGTGTGTCAGAGGCCAGTCCAAGGAAAAGAAAGGAAAACTAAAAACTGAACTAAAGCAAAAGAACTAAAAGCTGGCCGTCCGTCTTCGTACGTTAGCTCCCCATTTAAAGCCAAAGGAAAGATATCCAGTGGTCCCCACCAATTGGCCAAAAGCTGCCCCATTTCTTCTTAGTTCCCTTAGGCTTTGTACGTTGCTTTTTTTTTTCTTTAAAACCAAAGGACCAAAGCCCTTTTCCTTTCCTCCGTGGTCCCCACCGAAGTCAAAGGCCCAAGCCTTCAAGTTCTCTAAGTCTCCGGTTGTAAACCTCTTGGCCAACAAGGATAAAGGGATGGGAGTCCAGTTCTTTTCAGCACTGTGGCCCTGGCCTGTGACTCGCTTGAAGACTCAATTTTCTCCAGAAAATCCCTCATGTTTGGTAGTTTTCTGTTCTATCCCTGAAATAAAGGCCACAAACCAAATATAAGTAGATATGTGCAATTAACACAATATTTATCAGGGATGAAAGGGGAAATTAATAATAAAATTACTAACAAATTATACCCTATCAATTCCCCCCACACCTAAACCATGCTTGCCCTCAAGCATAAGAAAAGTGGGCAGACCCCAAAAGTTGATAGTGGTCATCACTCTAATCTACCACATTGCCAAGAGATTCAAGAGAAAACCATATATCGGGCACTAGTAGTTAAAATCCGAGGAACATCCCCCCAGTTAGCCTCTACCGCAAACTCCTTCAATTTCCAAATTAACTAGTCTAAGGAAAAGGAATGACACGCAGCATTTATCAGCTAATGGTCCAAATATTCACACAAGTCCCCATATTGAGTCCATAAACCAGCAAGCTTCCCTATTGTGTATTCTCTCTTCTTTTTTTTTTTTTAAAGCACATAATAATATTTGACACACGAAGACTTAGTCTCTAGCCGCCGAAGCCTTTTGACGCGAACTCCAACATTTTTAGATGAAGGAGCCCGGTTACTCAGCTCCTACCGCTATACAACCACGTACTCATATAAAGTACCACCTTTTGACGCGAGAATCGACACTTTTAGGTGCAGATTCCCGGTTACTCGGTAGTAGCCAATAGAGGAGTACAGTCAAGCTTATTCACAGCTAATCAAAGTAGAAACGCAAAATAACAGCACTAACAACTAAACATAGGGGCAGCTCGCCTCATTATTGCCAAACATGGAGAACTGGAGTCAATATTGGACCAGTTCACATTAAAATGCCAACAGTCATTCCCAATGCCTAGAAAAGTTAACACAGAAATCAAAAGAACCAAGCAGTCCGATATTCACCAAGGAGACATCTCGAATCCAACCACACTAACCCGATACATTATGTTTAAAAAGAACTCGGCAAAAGTAGAACTCGAGTCAATAAACCAAAATTTTTTTGTTTTTTTTTTTAATAGTCACATAGGATTAAAACTAAGAATTAAAACTAGAATTAATAGTCACAGAGAAAGAAAAATAAACAACTAGAATTAAAACTAAAAACTAATAAAACTAGAAACTATTAAAAACTAAAAACCACTAAAACTACTAAAAACTAAGAACTAAAACTGAAAACTAAAAATTACTAAGAACTAAAAACTACTAAAAACGGAAAACACTAGCACCACTTTAGATCCCCCCCCACACCTATAGGACACATTGTCCTCAATGTGACAAAGAAAAACCAAAAGTGAAACAAAACTGAGAGAGGAATCAACTGAACTTCCCTGAAATCGAGTCAAAGTGGGGGACAAGGTGAGGTCGGGGGTGAAAAACCCGAGTGCCGCATGAATGCTTCCAAATTCTGTGCCAAGGCAGCCACATTGTTGTCGATGTTGACCATCCAGGCCTCCAAATTCGAACAGAATTTCTAGGGGAATGAGACTGAGAAGTTCTAGGGGTCCTGGACCTAGAAGATGATTTCGGCCTCGCCATGGTTGGGCACAATCAACTTAATCAACAGAAGTTCCAACAGGTATAGACACCAGCGAAACCCACTAGCAAAAGAATCTCAGCAAAAACAACGCAAACAACTCCCAGTAGTAACCCCAACAATAACAAACAAAAAGGCCAAGGGGTAGCAAATCGCGCAAGTGAGTGAAGAAAACAAACACAGATAGAGCTAACTCAAGCACAATCCCAAAAGAAGCCTCAGTGATATCACAAGCATGTGAAACAGAATAGCGCCCAGCAATGCACAACTATTCAACCAATTTCCACAAGTAATGT